AGGTGTCCCAGAAATTATGATAATAGCTGTAATGGGCAGTCGCGATTTAATTAGTAAAAATTTGAGTAATTTTGACCTAAATTTTTGATCGTCGCCGTTGGCAAAAATCCTGGCATGTATGTGCCCGTGCCTAACAAAGAATTTCAGGGCACAGGCTTTTTTTTTGTTTGCCTTAAAATGCCAGGCATTTTTGTGCCTATAGATACTTTGTGCCTGGCTTTAGGGTGCTGGCACTTCTGTAACTGTGTGCACTTTTGTGTTTGGCTTAAAAGTGCTAGGCACTTATGTGCCTACGGACATTTCGTTTTTAGCTTAAAAGTACTAGACACGTAGCCAGACCCAAAAGTGCCAGCACTATTATAGACATAGATGACTAAGTGCTTGGCACTTTTTTAGGCATGGCACTAAGTGCCTGGCACTTTTGTGCCTATGCATAGGCATGGTGCCCAATGTGCCTGGCATAGGCAAATGCAGAACTCTATTACATAGCGAATGAGCGATAACTTTATTAGTAAAATTTTGATTAATGCCAACTAGAGTTGTTAATGGATTGGATTGAGTGGGTTTGTTTAAAATTAGTCCAAACCAGCTTAAAATATTAAGTTTTAATATAATACTCCAGTTTGGTCTCCGTTTTAGCAAATTGGTTTGAATATCCTATTTTAATACATATATATTTTATAATTCACTTCAGTTTGGTTTGGGTTTAAACAGAGCATGATACTTCAATTAATAATTTCAATCCCAGAAATCTTCCTGGAAACAACAATCACTAAAAGCACCAGCGCAACGAAATATCAAAACATGGGTTTCAAGTATAGTATCACAGATTCCAGGCATGTATATAGGGAATCCAATAGCTAACTATTGGCGCAACATATCAAAAACATATCAGATATCTGGATTTCCGATATTTATTTTTTACCTTATATGCTTCTGATATATTGCAAATATATAGATTAGATTTTTGGCGCCAATAGTTATTATTGGGTATCCTATATACATGCATTGGACCTGTGTAGATAAAAAGATATCAAACGCAAGACGAAAAAACTTCTAAGGCAAGAAAAGTAGAATAACAATCAACGTCAATTAATCATTTATGAAGCACGTACTAGACTTTGCGAAACAAAGTAGTAATGATTTGGTTTAATTTTTTTATAGAAATACTTGATATTTTATGCTTAGTTTTTATAGCTACAAAGGATTCCAAAGTTTGCTTAGTATATTTGGTCTGACTATCAATATCTTGATTCTTCATATAAATTGCCTGGTTTATATAAAAAAATATAAACTTTAAAAATTATATGTATTTTTTTTAACAAAATAACTACTTATCACCAGTGGTGTTCATCACCGTATATAAGTTTTTATTAAATTTAGGGTTAGGGTGCAATTT